TTTTTTTTTCCTGATACTAATGACTCATTTTCTATGTGGAGGGTAAAAACCCTATCCTCACAAAAGTTAGTGTCAAAATTTCAAGGGAGGCCTGCCAAATAGATAAGCTTCACCATGAAACATCTTTATCCTCTTGCAGAAAGATTTGTGGTTAGGAATAATGCAATGTCTCCAAGGTCACCTGAAGGAAAAGCTAAGAGGATTCTTTTTTTCTACCAACATAAAAGAAATCACACTGACATATGTCCAAAAAACAGTCAATTCGGTTTATGGAGAAGTAACAAAGAGCGTGGCGGTTGGGTTCTGACTGTAGAACACCGGCACTGTTCTTCCTCCGCTCAGCATACTGATGAGTGCTCACAAATTTGACAATATTAATACAATAAAAAACATGTTTTTAAAATACTTTGCATTATAAAAATTTTTTAAATGGTTTTGAAGCCTGTAAACTGGAACTTAAATCCTGGCTTAGACATGTACCTGATTTAGGATGTTGGGTAATGATTTATATCTGTGAACATCCGAACCCTCATGGAAGTATCTACAGGGCCTGTCAAACAAACAACACACCAACTTTGGGAACTGGGGCCAGAATTTGACTGGATAGAAAGAAGACAGCTCACAGAATCAGCTGTAAATCTGCAGACTCATGTTTGGAAACAAAAAGAAAGCCAGGGAGACCAGGTGTGTAAGGATACACATTGAGCAAAGAGGACTGCCAGGTTAGAGCCCTGTCAGGGTTAGACTCCTGGGCACAGGATGCTAGATGCTAACACCATAATGAATTTCCACCTGGCCCTGCTTCTCTGGGGATGCGTGGTGTACCTGCCAAATTCCTGCCAGAGGCCAGAGATTGGAATCACTTTAGATCACGTACCTCAGGCCAGCTTCTGGAGTTCTGGGAGAAGATACGTCTGATCTTTGTGGCTACCTCAGGAGGAATCTTAGCCCAGTCTTCCAACAAGAAACACACAAGGAGGATTTCTGAAACACAAACACAATACGTTCTTTTTGTAAAATTGTTTAAAGGACAAAATTACAAAATAAACCTAAATTTCATGATACGTTGTTGAGCGCAACCTGTTTTAATATGAAGGGAAGAAATAAATATTGACTGAGTCTGTCTACGTTGTCAAGAACGATTATAGTTAGGAGACCAGTTGAAGGGAATGATGTGTCATGTATAAATATACATAATTACACATAATTTACTTATATACAAAGTATAATTACATATATATCATAACATAAATCTGAAGTTGGTGGGATGGCATTAATATTTTATCTTTTCTACTTTACTGG